GGCCCAACCAAGCGAAGCTCCACGAGAGCACGCCGGGCAGGGAGACACATGCACGTGTCACGCTTGCGCGGACGGCGGTGGGCAAACATGCTGAACAAAAACAAAAATTGAACAAATTGTTTCCCGTCTGATTCCTGTCGGGCACCCTCAACAAAAACACACTCAAATGAGTTGTTGCGATGTTCGCGGACAGGATGCTAGCAGGTTGCGGCCCGATGTGCTTGGGTTCCATGTTGCGCCGGCACTGCAATCCATGGCGGCTTGTTCGCCTTGCCTGCCCCAAAGAAGCTGGCAACGCCAGCGGGCACGGGCATGGGGTGTGGGGCTGTATGCCTTGGAAGCCGGCGAGTGGCCACTGTCTCTGCAGGCGCACTCTCCATGGCGTAGTCGGACCTTTGCCCATGTTTGTTGAAATTTGTTAGCCGTTGCGAGCGCTAAATAACTCCATGGAGCTGTCCTCCTAAAGGGAATAGAAGGCCCTTTCAGAGTGAAGAAGTGCAACCCGCCCATGCTTGATTTCGACGGGATGATGTGCACCCCTCACCAAACAAGCATGTATTTAATTCCAGTGAGAGACATGTTGTTAAAACATATCCGGCAAACCTGCTTTTCACGGCATACCGATACAAATTGCACAGGTGGGTGGTGTGCCTCGACTGCTTTTCCATGGTGAAACATGCGCTGAAGCGCCAGGTAGGGTAGTTTGAGGGTCTATAAGCTCAAACTATTCCCCCTGAATGTGAAACCTGCCCGAGAAAATCGTCGCCAAAAACAACCTGCACGTCCCAGCGAATGTGTCAAGAGAGCGCCTTCTTTAGACGTCGGACCAGCCGCCGCGCTCGTGTGCCCGGCGTTCTAGAACGCGAAGCGGCGGCGGCAGTACGGCGTGGCGGCGGCAGTGCGGCGTGGCGCATGCAGACATTCGACATCCAGCACTGGGGGCGTTCAGGAGACCTCAAACCATGCAAAGCACCACGCGTGCAACAAAGATGCGACAAGTTCCATCTCGTATGGCCAATCACTCACTCGAAATGCAAGTTGCTGTAGCCAGCACAAATTTGCTGATGAATGGCGCTTCGGCGATCGGTTTGAGACGAGAAACCTACGCGAGGCGACATGCCCTGTGGCGTGCTAGCCAGCGGCGCTCGTTGCTGCCAGCTGGCTTTGAGTCGGCCTTGTGCCGATTGGCCGCCAGACTCTGCCTTTGAGTTTGGAGGGCTGTCTCGGCGAAGTTATCACCTCTGCATGCGATAATTCTGGCCATGCCATGGCCTGTGCTGGGACAACGCATAGCCAGTGCTGGGGCCAACGCAATGCGGTGGATGGCTCCAAGAACAGAGAAAGTCGTATCTGGCCCAACCTTCTATTCATGTTCTTCTCTGTGAAACATTAGTCGGGTAGCTCATCTGAGAATGTGATGCTTGGAAAAGGCTATCATTTCCGGCATAGGTCCTGTTCAACTTGCGGATTTATAGCTTTCAGCTGTCCTTGCTTTGTCACTGCTCCAGTATCTCTGAGTCTCTGCCTTCCGGGTTGCTTGATTCTGCTGTTGGATAGAGTCTCCCTGCTTCATGTTTGTTTGCCTGAGATGGTGCCCAAGACCAACTGCCTACAACTCGCATCGGCGAGTATGGTACTTCGCGTCACTCTGTTTCTTCATTTTCCGGCCAAATGAGTGATATATGTTGAAGTCTGTTGAAGAGCACCTTGACCAAACATGGCCTGGCCAGACCAAGTCTAGTTTTTGTCTGCCACTGAAATGGTTTTTCGTGCTGAGCAACATTCGGTCACTGCGCTTCGGCCAAAAACAACTTACTCAAGATGCCGCTCGGTGAGTTGCGCCGCCACCGCCGCGTTCCCGTCCATTCGCCGTCGTGCGCATCATTCGAATTGTTCACGCGGAGAATGCAAACAAACGTGGGGGAAGCTGCAGAATCAACGCATTGAACAAAGTGACCTTTTTCCTTAGGGAACCCTCCCCCAAAAAAAGATTTCAAGAACATCTCTCCAAGCTCAAAGCTCCAATTGCCCCCGACAAATGGCATGCTTCAGAGCTCGCTGCAGATCGCAATTTTTCGACTCGATGCAAACGCAGATCCCGGCAGCCCATGCCTGAGCGTGGATCCGTTGCATGGGATAAACAAAACACTCCATGAACCTATGCTTCAACCCTGACTCAGTTGCCCAAAGGACCAAGTAAACCTGCACCAACAACCTAGAGCTCCCAAATCCTGTGCAAAAAACGGCACCCAAACCCTGTTTTCACTGCCTTTTTCCGGATTTAGAGGAAACTAAAGGGTCGGATCCGGTCAGTTCGTTTAAGCAAGTACGCTGCAAGTCAGGGTTTTCCTTATTCTCCTTTCAGTTTGAGGATCAGCTAAGTGAGCATGGCCGTACGGGCTCATTTTGAGGTTACAGGAGTGGTCGTAACATTTATTACATGTCGACATCCATGTGCAATTTGCTTGATCAGATTCATTTGGCCCCTATCCTTTGCCAGCTCGTGTGCTAGCAACATGGCCACTGCGAAAATTTCCCCCTACTGATCAAGCCTACTCCCTATTCAAAGTCCCTCAACCCCTGACCTACAAGGGATGTGATGGGAAATCAGGTCTTTCAAGATAGACCCTGAACCATGTGGGTATTGTAAGGTAGAGGGAAGGACTCCCCACTGTGTTTGGTTCATTTTCCACCATGCCAAATTGCAGGGCCAGTCCCGAATGCCTGGAATCAGGTCGCCGAATTGGAGGTGTCACTGGAGACTCTGGGACGGGTAAAGAGCGATCACTTTTGGGTTGGCCAACTAATCACGCCCCTAAAGGCTCTTTTGACTCTCCTGCAACCACTTCCAACCTGCCAAACACTGGCTCCCAAAAAAGGTCAACGTGGGTATCTTCTCTTTCTGCAAACTCAGCTGATACCCTCCATCTTTACACAGGCATCTGTTCTTATTTTCGGACCCTGCATTTGTTCGAATCCTGTTGATGTGTAGAAACAGCTCCCTTTTCGGCAAAGCCATTCACTGCCCTCCCCACACAGAGACAGGAAGAAAAGGCATCTCATCTAAAACGGAAAACAGGTGGTGTTCTTTTCTTTGGCGGGGGGGTTTGTCTCGGACTCGGGACCTGTCCGGGTGGTTTTGCTTGCCTTCGCATGCACCAAAAGGTCCCTACCAAACTTAGCACAAAGCCATGAACAGCGGAAACAGGGAAACAGGGTAACGGCCAGTGAAAAATTGAGATCCTCAGCTTGCTGTTTGACTCACCCAAATTAAGTCCGAATGGTCTTGAGACGTACGCATTGCTGACGATTTCATGGAAGCACACTACCCCGCTAGGAAGGGTCTATTAAAGTGTTTCTAAAGGCAGCGGACCCAGAATATGTTTGGAACTGCTCTAGACCTGATTGGGTTATGTTCTTTTGGTTCCTTCAAATTCACATGCATGAAAAAATGATTTTGAGGGACTCCTATGTAAAGATTTGTGATTTCCACGTTCAGCTGGGGGAGAGCGTAAAGGAGGCCTGGCACCTTCTCCTAGTCTAGAGAATTGTTCCTACCAGCCCGTAAACATCCAGACAAACCACCACCCTGAACCAGCGATTTCCAGTTTTGGTCGGGTCCAGCGAAAAAAAGTTGAGATTTTAGAAAGCCCCTGGAAATCTTCACACCAAACCAGGTAACCACCCCACCACTTTTCTGCTGCCCCAGTCAAATTTTCTTCTGTGGCAACCAAGGGAACCAGCCTGTCACCAAATGCAAAATCGCGATCCGGGTGTGACCTCATCTTTCGGAACAAACCTATGCAAGCTGCGCAGGAGTTTGACGGTCTGTGCGTGGTCCAAACCTAAGTGGCTCCAGTCCAACTCAGGTGAGCCAAAATCAAAACCCGGTACTAAAATGGTGAACCCAGAACCATTTAAAGAATTAATTAAGAAGGCGGAATTCCGCAGCTACTTCTGGCTGGGATTGACCCTTACTAACCTTCATCAATCCCCGAATCGGTTTTGAGGACGTGGCCCAGGTGAGAAATCCCCCTCGCTTGGTGCCCGGCGGCGCTGGCACACTCACCGGCGCCCGGAAGAGTGCCAAGGGGTCCGCCAGGCAGGACTCGAATGGACACCGGCGCTCTCCACAGGGCTGGGGGGGTGGGAACCCTAAAAGGGAAATGGCTGGTACGTACCATCTACTGCAACGGAATCGGAAACTCTCCGACTCCGAATTCCGCAAGTTAGGGTCGAACTGGGTGTCTGTCTTTTTTACCCCCCAAAATGGCACAACGGTGTTCCATGATTGGTTTCCCTTCAAAATCCCTCGAACACGGGTACCCTCAAAAAGAGACAGACCCTACTTTGTCTCTGCAGTTTAATAATAACACGGAGCCCCAACTCCTCCTCTATTTAGGAAATGCACACAAGTAGCACTCCATGCAGGATTGTGAAACGTAGCCTTTTTCTGTGATACCAAAGTAGAATTCCGCGCCGCTGGATCACTGCTGTTACAGGCGTGTTTTCTTTCTCCAGGCAAAGCCGAAACATGGATGGCGTCTTCTTTGGTTTCCCTGCAGCGCCCCAAAAAATGCAGCCTCAAACGGCGGCCTATGTCGTCCTCCCCGCGGTATAAGCTGACTGGCCTTTGAACCAAAATGGGCCAAAACTACGAACACGTGCCAAAACAAAGTGCTATGAAACTTGTGGATGGTTGAAAAAGAGACATGAAGGAACACCTTCAGAAAGCAAGAAGGTTGAAGCATATGAAGAACAGTACGTGATCGTTTCATAGTTGTGGGCTCAGGCATACTGTGGATGGACGAACTCCTGCACCACCTAAAATCCCTGGAATGATGATTCCCCTGTAAATACCGACAAACAATGGTTTCTAATGGTTTCAAAGCGATGCAGGATTTTGCCTTCATTTCAAAAGTGGTGCAGGATTTTGTCCACAGTAGGGACACGGATTGAACTTGACCCAAGCAGCCATCGATACTTGCCAGGAAGCAGTACTAAAACGGACACCTCGCACGTTTTCCTCCCCTCGGATCGGCCTCGGGATGCTCCACCAGGCGGTCCAGCAAGGAGTCGAAGCTGGAGCCTACGGCCATCTACGCTCCCAACCCATCCTAAGATGGAAACTTGAGGTCTATTCAAGCGTCCAAGGCACTCCCCCCCCTCCTTCCCCCGCCCACGCCCCACCCTTCAACCCCCTTCCCCACACCCTTCCCACCCCGCTTCCCCCACTTCCCCACCCCCACTTTCCCCCACCCACCCCCTACCCTTCAACTCACCCCCCTTCCCCCATCCACCCTTCCCCCACCCCGTCCCCCACCCTTCCCTCACTTCCCCGACCAACCACCCTCCATCCGAGATGACTCAAGGCCAACTCACAAGGGGAGCCGTTTGCAGCCCCTGCAACAAATGAACAGAACCCAACAGCCAGAAAGAAAACTAAGCACTTTCGAACAAACAGAACCAAACAACCAGAAACAAACTAAGCACTTTCGAACAAACAGAACCAACAAGCAACAAACGACTAAACACGTTCGAACAAACAGAACCAAACAACCAGAAAACAACTAGCACTTTCGAACAAACAGAACCAACAAGCAACAAACAGCTAAACACTTTCGAACAAACAGAACCGAAAAGCAACAAACAACTAAACACTTTCGAACAAACAGAACCAAAAATCAACAAACAACTAAAAACACATTCCAACAACAGTGAAGTGACCCATTACAGCGATTGAGGACCAAGAAGGGTCATGAGGCATGACCTTCCCACGGATCCCCCACTCAAGGGGCTTCCTTTTCCCACGTGCAACCTCCTAAATCCTAAAGCTTGAACATGGATGGTTCTATAGCACTCTCTTTCAATAAGTGGAAATCTGTCCCCATCCCTCTCATCTCACTCAGTGCCCACTTACTTGTTTGCCCTGGGCTGGATAGACACTTTAACAGCCCACGCCCTCCTCAAGAAATGAACAGACCAAGCACAGACTGGAGGTCTGGAGATTTACCTTCTGAGCTTCCTGAGTGGATGGGCCAACAAAAAGGCTGAACTGTTAGTTTACCACCAAAATGCTCTTCCCCCAACAAGAAAAAAGGCCAGGAACTCAGGGAGAGAGTGAGTGGTCAAGTCGCCCATTCTTGGCCATTTGCTTGTTATTCTGCCTGAAAGACTTAGAGGCAGGCAGTCAGCCACGGGCGTCGTCTTCAATGCGCCGATGTCACACTGAACCTCGTGACATGAAATCAAGCTGGACCACTTGAACAGGGGTGCCAAACATAGACCTCTGAACCGTCACTTCGGGCTGCTTCAAAAAAAAAACATGACATGTTCATCCTCCCAATCAAGATTTAACACTCCCAACAAAGCAACTATCAATGGCATATACGCATGCAGTTGAGCTTGGCATACTCCCCTGACCTGAACAAATCAACCACAAGTCAGGGTTGCTCACAAAAAAGTGCCTTCGAGGGTGAAACTCACCACACTAACAAACATGTTTCATTTCCCTCTCGCATTCGATCTGTAAATACAACACACGCAAAGCCAACCGCTTTTCTGGGTTCACTCGTGATTTTTTTGATGTTTTTTTCCTCGGGCGCTGACCGTGTCTGTTCTTGCACAGATGTTGCAAACAATGGATGGCTTGATTTGCCAAGAGCAATGCAATCTCAAGGATCTTTCTAGGCAACTTTGTTCTCTGGCAACAACTCCACTGGCTCAGCCAAAGCTTGACAATCCAGCAGAATGAGATAGCCACTCTCTGAACGCGTGTAAACTCATGCTCAAAGAATCATATTTTTCTCTTCACGGGTCCATGCCCAAATGAAACCACCTGACAGTCCATGTTGCAGTCCAAAGACCTTCAAGACACGACACACGTCTTGCCACACGCGAACGGACCCCATTGAAACGCGTCTTCAAGGCGGGCACGAGCTTGGCTGCTGCGATCTGGCATCACATCTACTCTTGGCATGGTAGCAAAAGACTTTGCTTTTTTGGCAGCCCCCCCCCAGTGAACATGAACAGAACCAAAAACTAAAAAAACAAAAATCACACACACACACACACATGCCAAGAACCGTAAAGTTGTCTGGTGTTTGCTGTCTCGAGTCCAAACCAACACTGAACCAAGGCCTGAAAGGAGTCCACCCACATCCGTGCGCATCAAACGGGAGCTGTCTTAAGCTTCACTCACCCTGGCTTTGACTTTTGGCGGACACAAACCCTTTTTGCTGGACGTGGATGTCAAAGGAATCCCCCTCCAACAAAAATAGACAACACGGCACTGGGTGTCTGGGCGTCTGGGCTTATCATGTTGTCCCTTTGACTTTTGTCTAGGGTGAAGTTTGGGCTTCATGTCTTGAACTTTGGATCTCAGTGCCACTCGCGCCAACCTAGCAGTTTCGACGAAATCGCCGTGAAATGCTTCGCGTCCTCCCGTCCGTTGAATACAAGATGTTCTACAGGAAGCTCAAGAGTTTCTTGGATTGAACATGTTGTCTAAAAGTGGTTCCCTATTTTTGGCCCAACTCTGGGTGCACCAAAAATCATACTTTCAGACTCTGCTTCACATTGGGCCTACCCCTCATACATAAAACAACATTATTTTGGACGAGAACATCCCCATGTCATGCTTTTTTTTGCGGCGAAGCAGGCAGGAGTCCATCATTTTCTTGGGCCCCGGGCTGGTGAGATCATCACCTCCGGATACGAATGTGGCAAGATGTGGCAAGGCGGGCGATAGCTGCTGTTGAAATTGCCAGTTATCCTGCATTTATGATCTGTGGCATTGGTGAATATCTATTTTGTCCCCAACTGACATGGGATTTTGGTGAGTACCCCCTTACTTGCTTGTTGACCCCTTTGCGACAAGTTTAATTTTGTGTGGTTCCAACTCGGAAAATCCACAAAGTTTCACCCCAACAGTTCAAGTTCAAAGAAGCCGCGCTAAATAGCCATAAAGCTTTCCTACTGGTCACGTGGTGACCCATACGTTGCTCAACTGCAGCGCCAACTCACAAGGGGATTGTTATTCGGAGATGCGAGCCCTCCGAGCGCAAATTATTCAGAGGTGGGGAGGGTAACTGGATCTCCCCTGCAAACTTTGCAGGGCCCTTCTGGGGGTCCAACATGAGACGCTTCAAGCAGCACCTGCTGTAAGCCCTTTGAAGAGGCATTGGGATAAGCCTCATCCAACCAAAGGGACACTATCTCACTTTTGACAAACCACAAATTGCAAGCCACCAAACTCCGAACCACAAACAAGGCCAAACCAGCGTTCACTCAAGCTTCTTGTCGTATTCTCAAGTTGAGACCGAAGAAGGCCAAATAAGGATTTTTCTCTGAGGCGCGTTGAGACCACATGCATGAAGCCCAGATCTCCCCAACACGCCGCAAAGCCCTTCCGAAGCTGCGAACGTTCCACCGACACCTTGGGCCAAAAACCACAAAACTGTCATCCCTTGCTAGAAGCCAACGGTCAAAAGGCTGTTGGCAGTTGGGGTTCCCCAAAAGAAGATTTCTCCACCAATGAGGCTTTGTTGGGTTCCATGTTCATTTCTCGGTGGCTGTCTGCTCCCCTGCTAAAAGTTTAACTTTTAGTGGTTTCATGGAAAACCCATTTAGTTGGCAACAAGTTGCAGTGCTAACATCCCTTGGCAAAATGCATCAAAGATTTGTAGCTGAGCTGTTGGGGTGCCCTCCAAAGAAAAACATCAAACGCAGGCGAGGGGAATTTTTCAACTTGGCCAGGATGGCCGTGACGCCGTCGGCCAAGTCTTCTCGATCCTTCTGCTGTCTTGGCACACCCCTGGCGCTTTCCGCTTTGATTTTTGCCGCGGGGACGCTTACCCCTTATTATTTGCTTTTGTTTGGTTTTCTCGAGGGCTTTTGAGTTGGGTTCTCCCCCAAAAACGCAGGGCTGGGGACATTGGTTTCTGATCCCAAAAGGTGGTGGACGAATGACAGGAGACCCCCCAGAGTTGTTGACGGTTCCTGGGCTGGACTGGACAAAGGGCACTTGGAACCTTACGCCCGCCGACTTTTGGGGGATGTGGAATCCCGGCATGGGCCTTGGGGAGCTTTGATTGAAAGCAACTAGTGGCATAGATGGGAATCAACCACTTTGGATGTCTGTAGGTAATGTGTCTTCGAAGCTCACCGGTGATGAGAAGATTTGGGGCCAAGTCCTTCTTCGGGGGTCGACTTTGTTGGTCGACGTTGAATCAATAGGATTGTACTTCACTAACCTGGGCTGCCCTCAGATCCCCTGCAAAAAGTTTAATTTGTTGGGGGGTTAAATGGAAACTACCACTAATCACCAAAAAGCTAAAAGGCAAAGAAACCGGATGGCTGGGAGCCACCAAGTAACCTGGAACAAGGGACTCCTGCGCCTTGAAGCTACAAGTGCCAAGGCGGACACTTCATTTGAGGGGTATAAATACTACCAGTACCCAACAAAACCCCAACCAAATACAATAAACCTTCCAGGCGCTGAGCAACTGGCTATGCTACAAGGTGGTCTGGGTAGGAAGTTGGGCGGACAGAAAACCATCCACTTCTGGCTGTGTTGGGGTTTGATCATGAGACTCCCAGCCATCCCTTGTATGTGATGTACTACTATGGCCATGGGTCAAAATCCAAATCGTGCCCGCAGTGAACATCCCAATCCAACCACTAAATAATAGGTTCTAAAATGGGTGGTGAATTCACCTACCAACCAAAATGGGATCCCATTGGTTTTGACAACCACAGCCCTATATACACTTAAACATCTACATCTGATATGGGGACCAACAAAAACCAAATCAAGCCAACTTCCAGCCTGAAGGGGTTTGATCTATATTCACTTAAACAGATCCAAGTCTGATATGGGCGGATATGGGGACCCCCCCCCCCCGGGGCCCCCGCAAAAACCAAACAACTTGCCAAGAAAAGTGAAGCAAACAAGGATCTTATCAGGGGTAATTAGGCCGTACACATGACGAATAACGTGTCACTCTCTGCTTTGAATCTGGTCCTTGTGGGGCCTGGGGAGATTTATGTGGGGTCAAAAAGGGGTTTGACCCTCTGTCTAAAGAAAACAACCTGCAGAACCAGGGGGTGAACCGCCATAAGAAACATGGCTTTGGAGCAGGAACCCTTTCCAAAAAAAAGGAGTAGTCTTCCAAAGGGGTCATGTGCACTTTCATGGGAGGGTTCCTCGGGCGAAGACCGAGCCAAACAGGTCAGATTCCTTAGAGTCTCTGCATCCAAGCCAACATGACCGCCAGAGTCATGGCCTGTTGTTGAGGGAGGTGTCGGTTTACCCCGGCACAAATCCCACTGTCTTCTGAGGGGCCGTTGAGGTTCAGTACATCCTCTGTTGTCCCCACCCCCCAATGAAATGCGCTGCTCCTCGCATACAACATTCCCATGTACCCGCGTTCCGCGCCATTTTTTTGGAAGGGCCCCCTTTAGTGTATATGACTTAGGGGGTGAAGGAAGGGCAAACAGGGTTTTCTTGATTACCCCCCAGGTAGACTCAAACCAGGGGGGGGCTCTCATGGTTGAGGAAGGGTCGACCCTGGGCTCTCAGATTATATTGAAGCGCAACAAGCACACACACACACACATGTAATCACCTCCGTTTTGTGGAGTCCCCTTCCTCAAACGCCATCATTTGGCGAGGAAGATCCTGGTAGGAAAAGGACTCCTCCAGTGGTGGTTCCCAACAAGTTCTTGTTGTGATAGCATTTGTCTCGAGGCAAACGCTCTGGAACAAAAAGGATGGTCACTGGTGGGAAGGGTCTGCAAAGGACAGCCCTCTTGCCAATCATGGAATTGGACCGGGGCCTCCAACCTCCTTTCAGCTTCCATTGTGGAAAGAGGGTCAGAACATGGGTGCCCCAATCTCATTTGGGCATTTGTTTTTAGGGTTGGTTGCTCAATACAGAAAGGGAGACCCAACTAAGGGTTGGTCTGCCTTGGACACACATCCCCGTTGCCCGCCTCGCTGGATCCAGAATGGATCTTCCCCCCATCATCTCCGCCTGCCGTCGGCGCCTGGCAGGGGAAGTCAAGGAACAATTCTCGGGGTAGCTTCCATGTCCATTCTGAATCCAAGGATCCGAATCTTTCCAGAAAACCTCCAGAATCCCAGGGAAAAAAAGGAAAGAACAACGGCATCGGCTGTTTTGATCAGAACGATGGTTGAAAAGAATGGACAAGCTGAATCAACCCCTAGAACAAGCAACAGAACCGAAACACTAACAGACCTTTGCACCATGCTGGGGCTCACCTCGCTGGTGCTGAGTGTGTCGGGCACGGGGCAACTGGAAACCTCAAACTCAGCTTGCTGCTGCGATAGGTAGCGAATGATCCAACCGTTGCAAGCTTGAACGCATGCGAACCAAGGTTTTTAGGCTGCATTTGCAATGTCCGGGCTGGGCCAAGCCTCCGTTTAAACATATGTAATCGCTTACACATCCGCCCTCCTTCTGGATCCAAGGTGCCCATACCAAGCTTGCAAACAAAAACAACACACCACCCGGTGGCGTAATTAGGAGCGACCCCATGTTCGTGAAGGAGCTTTCCCTTAAAAGCCTCGGGGCAAGGAGGACTTTCTTGAAAGCGTTGGCTTCAGGCCAAACAAGGGGTAGGGAAAATCCAAAGTAAAAACTCCATCCCCTAAAAGACCACAAACATGAGTGCTTGCCCGAACATTATGGGGGGGGAGGACTTTTTGTGGCTAGTTTGAGGTTCCGGGTTTACCTTTTACCCCCCATCCACGCTGCCACGGGACCTGAAAAAAGGTTCCTTTGAACAGAAGAGTGTCTACCAGGTCCTCAGCGCCTTGTTGCGGGAGGGCCCTTTGCACCCATGGAAGCTATGGATCATGGATCCATGAGGCTCTGATCAATCCACTTAGAGGCTCAATGATGGCCACAAGATGCTGAAACCCCAAAAGGGGAGAGGAAAGGGACATGTCTCCCTCATCTTCAATGAGGATTTCATCCATCGACCTTGAAATCAAGCCTAAGGAGCTTGGAACCGTTATTTCAAGTCCCTGAAGCCTTAAAGGAAAACCCATGGAATCCGAAGCACGTCTGGCCATCGTGGTACACCCAGGTTGAACTTTAAAGATATTGATATAATTACCAAAAAGAGAAAACACAAAACACCCATTTGTGTTTCGGGGTTCCCCTAGTTCAAGACGCGCCCAACTATGCGGGTGTGTCTCAAGCATAGGGGACCCTCCACATGTTTTCGGCGTTTCCGTTCTTCCGTTCTTCGCCTTCA